AATTGAGTTTAAGCAATGAGTTTAAGAAATTTTCACTTTATCTCATTCTGGCATTTCCAAAGTTTAACTCTTATCAGCCTCAAGCCTTAGGGACTATTTCCACACCCTATCACGCTAACTGTGGATCGATGTATCTCCAAGGGAATTCTCGCTAAATTGCAATCAATGTAAGTGGCTTAGCTGTCTGTCACGCCTACTGAAACTGGCATGCCAGAATCCTAAGCCGCTTAAACTGAAAGCAATTTAGTGAGAAACCCCTTGGAGTTGGATTGATCCTGTTAGATTGATCTAGGTATGGGAACTCAGTCTAATGCTTGTTACACATTTTACTTTCATCCTAATTCAATGTTATGCAGAATTAGAATTTGATGTTGGCTATGCAGTTACAGTAAGCATAATACATTAATGCATCAAAATTGACAGTATCCTATTTCCTGCGCTTTTTTTCTGTTTTTTGTCTGTACATTTGACAGCTTTGCTGCCTTGTTTTGTAGTAAATATAGGTAGAAAAGTGCATAAAATTCATACAGATAAAGGTTGTTACAGAGGGTGAGATACTGTTGTGTTCAGTTTTTATGTAAATGGAATAATTAAGTCTGAGTATAACAGTTACATGAACTTATTATTCTCTCATAGCACACATTATTTCATTATTATCTGTTTATTTGATTCCATTTTATGTGAATCCCTTCTATTTCATGTGAGTTTGAGAGGATGATATGCATTTTAAACCAGGAAGTATGCTCTTGGGATAAATTAATGAAATTATCTCAGATTTATTTATAGGAATTAGAAAAGATATACAACTTCCTGCCAACTGGAGCCATATTGAGCAAGTTTTTGTTTGGGAAGTCCTGTGAGTTTTCTTCTCATAGTTATTCTCTGTTTGTCTATTAACAGCAAGTCAGTCTACACATAAATTCTCCTGACAGCAAAAATATAAATTGTTTAAAATGTCTGTAGGTTGTAAGCTAACCACCTCGTCACAATGCTAAACCTCTGGCACAGGGACATGTTCTTGCTTAACAAGAATAGCAGCTGCAAAAAAGTATTTGCTGCTGCATTATATATATATAGAGAGAGAGAGAGAGAGAGAGAGCATAAACAATTTCACACTGTATCTTCAGCACTGAAGAAGATGACCAAAAAATTCTACAAAATGTCAAATGAACATTATCACAAAGAATTACTGATATTACAGGAGGACTAATGGAAACCTGCATTAAAAATACAAAGCAGGATTGATTTTAATGTCATTTACAAATGTAAAAAAGATCTGTATTTGTGGCTTAAGAAGTGTACACATGTTATGCACTTGAAGTGTCAAGAAGCCAGTTGTTTGGCAATGTGTTTTTGATATTTTCTGTGGTCTTTGGTTCCATTCATAATATTCCCATGCACTCAGCTCTAAGACCCCATAACCTGTTGTATATTTGTACTCAATTAAC